CTTCTCCCTCTCCCACTCCCCCTGCTTGTGTTCCCTCTCTCGCTGTGTCTCTCTCTGTCAAATAAATAAATAAAATCTTAAAAAAAAAAAGAGAAAAGGAAGTATGAGACAGACATGTGGCCAACAGTAATCCATAAATTCCCCAGCTTGAGGGAGTTGCTGGATTCTTACATTGCCTTGAGACCTGACAGTGGTTCCTAAGAACACCTCTGTACCAGTTATTAGTCAACAAATAGAAATCAAGTACCATTCTCTGTGTAGAGCTGTCCCAGAAGCTGTAGGGAGTCATGTGGGGCAGGCAGCCATGGCCCCAGCTCCTTAGGCACTCACACCAGCTTGCAGGACTGCTCGGGCCTGACTCCAGCCTTGCGGTAATCCAGCATTCTGGGAACAGGGCTCCCCCGGGACCCTCCCATCCACTGACTTCTCTTGGACACAACAGTGCATTTTGTATCATGTTTACTGAGCACCCACAACATGCCAAGCCTCCTGCCAGGAGTTGTGGGAGATACAGAGAACAGAAGACATGGACAGTTCCCTCGAAGGGCCCGAAAGATGAGACATGTATACAAATAATCACAGTCTAAAGCAGCATGCGCTAAGTGGGAGCAGCTCCAGTCCGCACTGTGGCTGCACCGTTTGCCACCCTGAGTTGTGAATGGAGAAGCAAGGCTCAGTTGTGAATGGAGAAAGAAGAACAGCTGGAGCCATCACAGTTTTTGCTGTCTTGTGCCTTTGGCATTCTAGAACATCCAGCAGGTGTAAATTTTAGGTCCTACTTTAGCACCATCTCTGAGAGGCTCTCTTCTTACCATCTCATCCCCCAGTGACTAGATGTCCAAATCTGTTTTTCATCGCCATGTTTGTTTCCCTAATGGATTCTCATTCCTTTGTATTGTCCCTTAAAGCTGCTAAGAGGACTTTTTACAATCACGTGGATAATCCCGACAATTTCCAAGGTTAATTCTCTTTGGTTACAAGGCATGTAATTCCCAGAGACAATGTTTCATTTTGCTCAGGTTCTTGGCTGCACTGGAGATCTTGTCCTGTAGAAGAATTTTGTCATCTTTCCCCTAGGGAAATTTATCCCATCATATCCGGAGGTTAGCCAGCGTATCGGTTCCAAGGTCGGGAACTTTCAGAGACCACACATCCTGAATTCAGACTATTACAGACATTCTCCATTTGCAAACGTTCACATCATTTGGAAGAAGTCCACCCAGTGTCTCCCTTTTTTTCCATTCCTGTAGCCACTGATACCCTGAATTTTTACTTCACCTCAACTCCTTTCTTTTTTCCAGGTTTGATTCTTTCCTTAAAGTGTACTTTCAGCAATGATTTTGTTACCTCCAGTGAAAGTTTAACATGGGGACTCAGGATTATCAGAGCGCCCTCAGCTGCTAAGGAATAGCCCACATAGGATCCTTCTGACCCTGCCTTGGGAGATCTTGGCTAGATTGATCCACTGAGCAGCACATTATCTTGGCACCATTTAGAGCCAACCTCGGGATCGGCACCTGTACCCCCATCCTTCTTGCTACCTCAGGCCTCTTCGTTATCAGATTAACCACCCCTGGCCCCCCCGAAGAGCTGGGTCTCCCTGCCATGTGTGGGGCCTGTCGTGCGTGGGGCCCATCGCCCCTCAAAGCTTAGTGTTTTGTGGTCTTTACCTGGCATAGTTTCTCAGGATGAGGTTGACTCAGGTATTTTGAACTCAGGCACTTAGTCAGGATGGGATAGCTCACCTTCAGGTGTACCTACTGGGGTCTCACTAAGAATCTGGCAGTTATAGATTATTTGGTGTTAAGAGTTGGCTGCACTTGGCAATAATAAGCAAAAACACCTCCATGTAGATTCTTCTGGTAATGATGAATGGAGGGAAAATGATTGGTTGGGCTACTGTGTTCCAGATAAAGCTTTTGAGGCCCTTGTTTTAGACAAAAATTGAACTCTGAAGCATGTGCCCTTCAAAGAACATGAGTAAATAGGGCAGGCTTTAATTCCAGATTCGCTTTGAATACTGCCTAGGACTCCAGGGAAGATACCTACACTGAAGGATTATGAGCCCATGCATGGATAAAGGTTCACACCCCTTTTAAAAAATTGAAATCCTTGAGCCTGCTCATTCCTTTCCCTCACTAGGTCACGGACATTCCACTTCTACCTCCTGTCAGTCCTGCTGCTTCATTGTAAAAAGAAAAGAAATTATTTTTTAAAACGTTTTATACAGTTCAGAGATACAGAATCAAAGAATTAAAGCCCTCAGCTAGAGATAAAAAGCAACAAATGAAACTGAGTTGTAGATTGTTTCCTTTTTTTCTCCTCTAATTTTGCTTTAAAACATCAGTTTAGGCCAAGCAGATCTGTAACCACCACTTTCCAGTAGAGGGAACTTAAGAATGATTGATGGGAACATCTTAACCTATCCCAGAATTTGTGGTGCAGTACTCGGGAAAGACTGCTCCAAGAAACCCAGAGCCCCAGACATGTCAGGATTTGATCTGCTAAAGGTAGTTTCCTTTGGTGGGAACTCAGGTCAGGCCCAGGTGGCCCTCGGTATAGTCAGCATCCAGTGTTATGGGACCATCTGGGAACTGCTCTGAGCGCTCTGGTAGGGCAAGGTGAGTTTGGCTCTGGAAGAGCAGGAAGGCATTTGACCATCATGACACCAGGCCTGGAGACTTGCAGGCTTCTCCCCAGCAGGGCAATACAGTCAACTCCGGATTGTTCAGATACCGATAACCCTCTCTTGGGATATTGTACCTGCCAGTCGGGGAGGTGACCTGTCTGTGGCAGAAGGAGCTCTGGCCTACAAACCAGGAGGGTGGGTCTCTCTTTCTGGCTCCAGAATGCCAGCGTGACACTCGGCAGATTCTCGTGGGTCTCCATGTGCTCCTCTGTGAATAGAATTTCTAAAATTTTTCTAAGAATCCTTCCAGCTGTTTTTCTAACAATGAGAGTAGAAGATGGTCCAGGAAGGGACAGACCTGAGGCCGGTTCATTTTGAGCCATTCTGGAGAGAAAGAATGGGGATGATAAGGAGAAATATGGGTTCAGTTTTCAGACCCACCCAAGTTCTCATGAAGGAGTCATGGTGGTAGTTCAGAGACGGAAGGATTATTATAGTTGAAAGTGAGAGATGGAAGAATTGCTTAAGGGAGTTCTCGTGGAGCCAAAACTGTCTAGAAATTGCTTCCTTTGGTTCTTGTCTTCTCGGGAACTGCAAAGCCAGCTGTGGCGCCTACTGGATACGTTTCCTTTGTTGATGTAGTAACTCATCACATTCTCCAGCAAATGGTTTCTTGTCAACCAGGAGCAAGAGAGCTTGTCCCTGTTGGAAATCCATGGTGAATGAGCTGAGGAGGGGGCAGCTTGTGTGGAGTGTGTGTATTTATCTGTATTCTTTTCCATAGGTACCATTAAATTTGTCTGGCTTAATTTAATGGCAACTTCTGGGAGCTGCAGAGGCTGTAAAGGGCGAGGGTAAGGTTTTTGTCATCTGTTCAGGCTCCTCTCCTTCCACTGGAACGTCCTCATTCCCCCTCTCCCTTCAGCCTCTTCCCTTTGCCAACCTGTATGTATGTTCTACCGCCTCCTCTCGATTTTCTCCTTCCCCCCTGTGTTTTTTCTTCTGCCTCTCAACCTCCTTTCCTTTCAGGTCGTTTGAGTCCAAGTTGAAGTAGGCAGCTGGTGTTACCCACTCTCTCTCCCTGGGGGGCCCAATCTGTGTAATCAGTGCTAGGGGCTTTATTCTAACACTCTGGAACCTCTTTTCTTGTTTTTCTTTGTTTTGTTTTGTTTCCTTTTTTGTTTTTGTTTTTCTCTTCTGTTTCCGTGTAGGTCTCTTTAGTCAGCCTTATAGCTAATGCCCTGGGCTACTCGGAACTAGGTGCCATAAAGTCCCTTAGGACCCTAAGAGCTTTGAGACCCTTAAGAGCCTTATCACGATTTGAAGGGATGAGGGTAAGATACTAAGAGCAGCTGATCCTTCTGCATGCCGATGGAAACTGTTTACGCATGCTAGAACTGATCACACGGTGGGAAGATCATTCAGACACGATCTGTGATGCAGCTGCTGATTTGATCCTCCACTCTCTCCCCGCACCTGCCCCGTGCGAGGGGGTCGCATCAAGCTGCCTCATCACATTAATATGGGCCCCACCCCAACAGCGTGCCATCGCAGAACATGTTAACGCTGGCTATTCTCATTTGGCCTGGCTTACCTGTAGCACTCGGGGCGGCTTTCTGGGCTGTTGATTTAATAGGGAGAATCACCAGGTGCAAAGAAGGGGAATTGTAACCCACAGACCCACTGAAAAGCAGAGGCTGCAGGCAGGGCGAGTGCCGTGTAGGGGCATCAGCCAGGTGGGGACTGTGGCCTTGCCGTCACTGAGAAGGCAGCTGAAAGACATGATGGCAGGCCTGGAATTGGGAATGGAGCAGAATTTGGCATGGCCCTGGGAAAAGAAATGCTTTTCTTTCTATTCTGATTCCTCTTATTGCACCTTGTTGTTCTCAGCCCAGTCCCATAAGGACTGGCAGCCTCTGTCTGATAGCAAAGCTTTCCTCCTCACCCCCCACCCCTCTGCCCACGCTATATGGTCCCCTATCCTGACACCATCAAAATAACAATCAGGTATGATGCCAGATGACTTCTCAGCTAGTTCTCCTGAAATTTCTTGACACCTGCTATTCCTGCTTTGGTGATACTCCACCCAAATCCAAACGGGGCAAGGTGCTGTCACCCTGCCAACCTAGAAACAAGGCTCCCTCTTTTGGTGCCCTTTTGCTGTCTCTCTTGGTTAAAAAAAAAAATGTGCATGTGCGTGTGCACACACACACATGCTAAAAAGTCAATTTCCTAAAATCAGGTGGGCAACTGGCTTTTAGTGGTAATCGTTGTCCTGTGGTAACAGAGAGGTCTGTTATACTTAAGGAGACCAAGAAAACTCGTTTCCATCCAGATGTTGAATACATGCAGGAGAGCAAACCGGAGGATATGTTTTTAAATGTGCAGATATCAGAATGTAGGAATAAAAATTAAATGGTTCCAGTGGTCCCCAGGAAGCAAGGCCGACTGGAGAGTCTAGGTACGAGGCCAGTGCCCACCTCACCCGTTCCTCATCTGTGCTCCCTGGCCACCGCTCCACAGAACTCCCCACGGTTGGACAGGAGGGTGAAAACGTCACTGCGCCTCGGGAGTTGTATTTGTTAGTTTCTTCAGACAAATACTTTTCGCCACCAGTTGTGTCTTTTCTGTAGCACAGTCACGGTTCGGTTTACTGCATATAAGCTTTCCGCAACCCACCTAAACCGTCGGCAGGAAGGTCGGGTCCATGGCAACACAGACTTCTTTCAATTTAAAAAACAAAGCAGAACTTGGGAGTCTGAGTCTTTCTCCCAGAAAGAAGAGAGATTTCAGAACGTGTGCAGTGAGGTGACCGGTAGGCGCAGGCTAGAGCGAGGGAGAGGGAGAGTATACTGCGGACGACTCCGTGTTCCGGGTCATTAGACCTAGGACTGCCGTGCCCTCCCCTCCTCCCCCGCCTTCCCACTGTTTTCAGCAAGGGCTGGTGAAACTCTTTTCATAAGTCCTATCAGTTCTGTTTAGAGCGTTGATAATCGGTGTTGGCGACTGAAACACTGAGTAAAAGAAGGCTGTTGAAGACCGTCCTGGGCACACGGTAGCCACCCCAGCAGCCTGTGCTCTTCCTCAGCCGATGCCAGTGATCCTGGACCTCCTAAAGCCAGACTGGTAATAGCTGAAGAAAGCCCAAGAAAAAATGCCCAGCTGACACTTGCTACTAACTTTCTCCACCCGGATGCTCATTACTGCCAGGCCTCGCCCGTGGCAGAAGTCGTCCCCGATGACCAGCTGGGGCCAGCTTGCTCATGAGGAGGTTATTTGAGTCACCTGGACGCAGGGGCCCTTTGGGTGGCCACACCGCTTCCCTTCAGCCCCTCCCCCTCTCCCCACCTTGCCTTGGACTCCCAGTTTCCATTCCCCAAAAACTTCTAGTTGCCAACTTTCAAGTAATTTAGGGACCAGAAGCAGTGATCAGAACCGGCAGAAAGTTTTTTCTGAAAAAGCATGAGAAAGTGAAACCTCTACATGAAGGGTTTTTTCAGCTAAGAGAATATGAGCGAAAACCAGTTTGAACCAAAAGCCAGGATTTCAAACAATGAGTGTTCAGTAAGGGAAGCTCTGGTAGAGGAGTGTCCCTTGGTTTGGTTGGCTCCGGTCAGCCAGCAGAACTGACCACTTCTGGTTGGGCAGGGGAGAGGGCTCAGGACCCAGTCCTGTACTGCAGTTTCCCAGCCCCTCTGTGAAGGAGTAACTGCAGGAAGAAAAGACTGAATCTGCCTGAGCTAACAGTCAGCTTCCCAGTGATAAACAGGATTAGGTATATACATTTTATTTGAAGGCTACTGTCCTATAGGGCCATATGTTTTCTATTTTTTGGTTTGGGTTCTTACATACACCGACACTGAGCAATTACCCTTAGAAAGTGTTCGGTAAGAACTCTTCATAACCTGAATACCATCCATGCAAGTGGGCTCAACCGTCACTGTGCTGTTCCAATGGTGGGCTCAGACCTCCGTTTGGGAGGGAACATAGGGCCCCAGCCCGTCCCGGGACACTGACTTCAGGTCTTCCTCTCTCCTTCCTCAAACCAAACACCAGAAAATCGAAACACTCATGCTCTTGACAAAGGAACACTTAATGTAGTTCTTTGCTTTTCTCTCCTCCATAGTAATCTTCATTTAAGAGATTTGCTGTGCTATTAAATTTTTGAGGGTATATAATGCTATGAAACATGCATGCCTTTTTGTTGATTGTCAGTACATAGTTGTCCATTAAAGCCATGTTCCCTCTGCCAGATATTAAAAGCTATTTGACAGATTTTATAGCATTTAATGAATGGTAATGTTCTAGGCATTATGAGAAGACAACACTGCTCTAAGAATTAGTATCCACTGGAATTTTTTCATCAGTTAAGTAGATTTGAAGCAATCTTTAAGTATAAATGTCCACTGAAAACAGTAACTTCATAGATTGCTAGACCCAAGTTTTAGTAATATTTCTATACCTAGTTTTGAACAATGAATTTTTATCATAACTAAAGGCAATGTAGAATAACTCAAGAGTTGTTAGGGACCAATTCACGAAGTGACTGCCTATGGAAACTTGAATTGCCGTTTGCACTTACCTGTAGTGCGAGAGTGCTTCTTGCCCTTTGGTCACTGAGAATATCAGCACGATGACAATTATATATGGAGCACGGTTAAACAATTTTCATTATTAGCTAATGTCTACAGCCAGGAAGAATTATTAGTAAATTTCATCAACTGTTTACTGTTTTATTCATAAAGCTAAGCTAAGAAGTTTTTCTTTGGTTATAATTAATCAAAAGTACATTTACATCATATAAGTACATTGGATTTTATAGGATTTTGTGTCCTACATATCAGAGAACAAGGTTCAGTAAATACTTTTGTGTATTGATTCTTTTGATCAGATCTATGAGTATAAAAGTGGGAAGAGGTCACTTAGTTAACGAGCTAATTATTCTTCCCTGCTATAAATATTACCCCATATTTAACTGTAACGTGTAACACTGTGCAGGACGGGTTAGACTGGGTTAAGATAGTCAGAAGAGTTCCTAGAGGAGGTAGATTCTGAATTGAGATAAAAAGAAGCATTTCTAGGTTTGAAATCTTTTGGGGCCTACTTCCCTATTGCACACTTGTGATGGTCTAATAGAAGGTCATGATCTCTCACCTAAGCTCTGCTGCAAAATGCTGTCACATAGACTTGAGCTTTTGAATTTTGATAATCGACTCTTATTGTCCGAGAAATGATTATTCCATTTGTGGATCATCCTCTTTTTGCCTGTTCTTTTGCACATTTCATTGCTTTCTGGTGCTCCACCAAGGGGTGAGCAACTGTAGAATGAGGAGGTAAAATTCAAATCTGATCACCTGACAAATTTGGTAACATCAATCAATCAATCAGTCATTCTCCAAAATAACGTAGAGGATTTTCTAGATTTCAGATATTCTGGCTTTCCTCCCTCAAAGTAATGAACAGTTGAAGGGTAATCATTTTACGCTAATGACAGAGTTATTAAATCTAGAAGAGATTTCTTGGTCTAAGAATTAAGAAATAACTACCTCTCAATCTAAAGGCCTTCATATGTGAATTGGAGAAACACAAAACTAATATTTTAATCTAAAGAAGAGTGACTCCTTAGCAGAATATCATTGCCTTTTTTATATAGGACAGAACAGCTCTTCCCAGCCCCGCGTTCCTACCAGTGACGTTGCAGTCTAAGGCGAGAACAGAAGATAAGGAAAACCCAACCCCAAGTCAGGTTGGGCTCAAACGGAGCCCAGAGCTGCCCCCTGGTGTTCCTTCCACAGCACAGCCCTGTGGGCCCTTTTGATGCTGTGCATATGCAGTGTGTATGTCCTGCCTCTTCCCTGCACTGAAAAACTGAGGCCGGAACACGGTGATACTTCTCACCTCCTTCTCACAAAACATTAGAAAGCTGTGTTTATATCCATTGTTTTTATTTTAACTCCATTTTAATTCTCCTAGGATATTTAGAAAAAGGAAGACACATTCTTCCCACTTTAGAGTCACCTTTCTGGGCCTTAGCAGTCCCGCTTAAGACAACAGCAAGTGAGAATCAGGGCAGAATGAACACCAGCCTTATTTTCTGCCCCCCCACCCTGAAATGCTATTTTTATAAGCCCTTTGAACTCCTCTAGTGAAAATTGCCACCACAGTTGAAGTATTGTCTAGCTACTCTCACCTATAGTGTGAATCAAAATCAAAGTTAAAAACAACCCAGAAACTTTGATTCCTGAAGGGTTTTTTTCCCTTTGCATTTTTTTCATTCCTGAGCCTTACTGCAGTCAGTGATTTTTAACAATATGCCGGTTTGGGGGTTTCAAGAGCAGTGATCTAACTCAGAGCTCTCCAGAAAATGTAAGTCATTCCTATTTCTAATACATTGTGAAGAGTCGAGTCCAGCCCTGGATTGAGCAGAGAGACATCAATCAGCATTAGCCAAACAGGGGTGACTCAGATTCAGAAGCCTACAAAGTCAGAAAAAAAAAAAAAAAAAAAAAGCTTAAGAAGAATAATGAACCTTGAGTGAAAAATACATCTGTTCAGATTTTATTTTATTCTGTTTGGTAGAGGGAATATAGCTTTTTTTTTCTCTTGAGCCTGCAAAATATGCATGCTCAGCTATTGCCTGAAATAAGATAACTGGCCTTGCATAAAAGAGACTTTGTGTACCATTGACTGATTCCCTGCTAACACCAAAGGGTAGTTCTCTGTGATTTTGAACAATCCTACCTTGTTTTGCAGAGGGGGAATGTCTGTTGAAAGGCAACTGGTGAGCTTGAAATCAGATTTCCCCCACGGGGACATATTTTATGAGTTGGCAAGGAGGGAGACTAGACTAAGAAATAATTTTTTCAGTCCCAGGTTGGAGCCTGGGCGAGAAGACCTAAGTCAACTGGGGCAGGGGAATTCGTGTTAGATGAAATAAATATTATGGAATTTACTAGTATTCCTCAAAATATATTTTAGAGATTTAGAAAATTTTGGTCCTACTTGTGGATCTGTCCAGCCACCCTAATTCCAAAGGGGACGTAACGTTTTTATAGTCAGAACAAGCCACACAGTATCATTCCCCTCCTGGAAATCAAAAGAGTATGCTTGCTCATACTTCCTCCCAACACTCAGCAACCTCCCCCTTCCAATGCAGGTGGTGGTGAATGCCTTGGTGGGCGCCATCCCCTCCATCATGAATGTGCTGCTGGTGTGTCTCATCTTCTGGCTGATTTTCAGCATCATGGGAGTTAACCTGTTTGCGGGAAAGTATCACTACTGCTTTAATGAGACTTCTGAAATCCGATTTGATATTGAAGATGTCAACAATAAAACTGAGTGTGAAAAGCTCATGGAGGGGAACAACACAGAAATCAGGTGGAAGAATGTGAAGATCAACTTTGACAACGTTGGGGCAGGCTACCTGGCGCTTCTTCAAGTGGTAAGCATTGCTGTTTTTGTCAATCCTGTGACGCTCAGATAGCTGGCAAAAATTGCATTTGGTTCCTTCTCATTCCTGCATCCAGAATCAGGATTACTCCTAGTAGGCCACAGAGAACAATGTCCTTTCCCAAACCGGTTCCAGGGAGACGCCTTTCCTGAGAACTTCTGAATTCTCCAAGACCTCACTCAAGGGGGATCTTTCACTGTGCTCAGGAGCAGAGTTCTGCTCAGCTACAAATAGATTCCTGCAGCATAAGAAAGTTGCAGAGAGACCACCTTCTCTCCCCAGGACAAAGTATGTGTTTAAGGAGAAGGCGCGGGGGTGGGGGGAGGAAGAAGGTAAGTGCATAGACACCACCCCCACCAAAAAAATGGGAATTCTGATTCAGCAGAATAATCCTATATAACAGCTACACTAAGTGAACTAAAGAAAAGAATATGGCAGTGCCAAGATGCTGCCACTCATGTCAGCCCAACCCCAGAGAAAGGTCTCAGATTAACGTATCGTGGTAAGAAAGGATTTATTTTAATTATGTAGCCTACCGTCATGTCTAGTTTCCTCTTCCACTGTCACCAATTTTTTGGACTGTTTGATGAGACAGGATGATGCAGTGAAAACTCTTAAGCTTTGGAGTCAGACAATTGTAGGTTTGAGCCACACTCTGATGTTTATTGCATATGTAACCTTGGACAAATTGCTCAACTTTCCCAAGTCTGTTTCTTCATCTGTTCAACGTCGGTAATAATACCTTGCACTGTTGTTAAGAGGACTCATGATAGTTTATTAAAATTTCTTAGAACAATGCCTGGCACAGAGCAGTGCTTAATTAATAGTATTTTGCTATTAGGTATTTTTGTTACCTACATCGTATAGTCGTTGGGAGGATTGAATGCTGTAATGCAGGTGAAACTTTCAACTTGACCTTACAGATAGTAAGCACTTACTGTTAGCTAGTATTAGGAGCCACAGTTAATAGAATGAGCTTTATCCTACTCCAGAGTCTTTTGTTGTTTTATCCAGTTGGGGAAATTGGACCCACAAATTGAATCTGAATTGGAGCAGCTCCAGGAGACCAATGCACATCAATCAGCCAATTAGACATTGTATTCAGAGTCCCCACCTTGTGCAAGGTGCTGTGCTTGGCACTACTAGGGCCGTCTGATGAATAAAGAACCACCCGTGCCCTGAAAAAACTTGGAGTCTGGTTGAATAAATAAAACAAATGGGACAAAAAGAAAACAGAGAACACTGAATTGCTAACCCGTATTTGTTTCCAAAATCAGACGAGGTACAGTAGATGTAAAGAGAGTGCAGTTAGGACGGGCTGCCTGGGATGGAGCCAGGATTGCCACTGACATAGGCTGAATGCAGAAAGTGGTAGGGGGAAAGTTCTGGCCTTGTGTTGTTTTGGGGTTTTTTTTTTTCACTGCAACTTAGAAATTTTCAGACCCCCATTGCTTATTTAACACCATTATAAAAAAAATGACTTGTCAGTGGTGGGCTGAGTTCCCAGTACCTCAGTAGATTCCTGCCACTCATTCATAAATACGAGTTTGCCCTGGCTTTAGGAAACCTCCTCAGACCCATTTTTAAGACCTTTTATGAGAGAATTGATCCAATTACCATTGTCAACATGTTTCTCTGCCAAACTTTGGTGTTATTTTCAGGGACTGAGTCAAAGCTCCCTCGGGACCTGTATTAACTAAAGAAAATTCTGTGTCCGTATGAAGCCATGCCCAAACTCTGTCTTGTGTTCACGCTGAACCTATGAGCCTGGCCTCTGTGACCCCTGCCTAGACCCCCACCCACCCCCTAACAGGCACAGTCTAATGACTGACTCTGTTTGCCAGGCAACCTTCAAAGGCTGGATGGACATCATGTATGCAGCTGTAGATTCCCGAAAGGTAAGGATACACCTGGCGAAACCACAACCTTCTTAGATGGCTAGAAAGCAAGCAGCATGACGGCGCTTATCAAGAAAAAGGGGGGGCGCCTGGGTGGCTCAGTTGGTTAAGTGTCTGCCTTCAGCTCAGGTCGTGATCCCAGGGTCCTGGGATCGAGTCCCGTGTCGGGCTGCTGCTTGGCAGGAAGCCTGCCTCTCCTGCTTGTGTTCCCTCTCTCGCTGTCTCTCTCTATCAAATAAATAAAATCTTTAAAAAAAAAAAAAGAAAAGAAAAAGGGGGTTAGGACATGTATTGCTTGTCTGATTGATTATAGCTCCCTTTCCTCCTCTCGGTCAGTCATCGCTCTCTTACACTGGCTCCAGATGATTAGGCCGTTGAGTTTTACCCAGTGGAGCCATCTCCTCTTCAGTGCTGCTGACAGAAGTGTGGCTCCTAGCGGACAGCCCTCCCCTCCCCCTGGCCTCGCCATTTGCATATTCTCCGCCTAAGTCAAGTGGCAGGGCAGGGCCGGGCAGCGAGAACGTAGAGCGCCCTCTCCCCAGCTGGCGCAGCAGCTCCAGCGGTCAGTTATGGCTGGTGGCGATGGCATGTCAGAATGGCCCGCCTCACCCCACGCTAGGAGCTGATTCTCTTCTTTTCTCTCCTATTCTTTGACAGCCTGACGAGCAGCCTAAGTATGAGGACAACATCTACATGTACATCTACTTTGTCATCTTCATCATCTTCGGCTCCTTCTTCACCCTGAACCTGTTCATTGGTGTCATCATTGATAACTTCAATCAACAAAAGAAAAAGATAGGTCTCGTCCCCTCACCGCCAGCGGCCAGAGCTCAGCTCAGATGAGAGGCACTTCTGTCCCTATCTCTAGAAAGAAAATGCCTCTCTTTCTCTAAAATCCATATTATCACCTCACTGTGGCCCTGGCCCCACTCTACATTAGCGCCACCCAGCTCTTTCTGTGGGGGGCTGGATGGCACAGTATGTGGTTTACCACATTTCCTAGGCCAAACTAGCAATTTACTAGTACCAAATGTATTAGCAATTCTTGAGGCCTTTGCTGGGCTTGGCATCCTGCCAGAGGGAGGCAGAGTCAGAGAGGGTCTGGTGACAGGGGTGAGAAGGAAACAGCAGCTGAATAACTGTAGCTTTTAAAAAGTAGAAAGTGTCTAGACTTGTCATTACCGATGGGAATCCCTGGGCACCACTAGCAAACTGGGATTTGAAAGACCATCCTTGTCCTTGGCAAGTTCACTTCCTCACTTGTTCCAGACAGTTAACAATTTTTCCCAAACAGACTGAAGCACTCACTCTTGTCATCCATTTTAGAAGTCAAGTCTGTGTCAAGGAACTCTCTGTGTTGTTTTCTTGCACCAGGATTTCTGAATTTTTCATATTAATTGGAAATAAATGGGCCAATAACCAGGACTTGAAAATCCTTTCGTTTGAAAATGTTATTCTTTAGAATTTTATCAGGAAAGCAGGTCCAAAAACGTGTGTGAACCAGTGAGATGCAACTGTCTTCAACATCACTGCTCTCAAGTGTACCCTTCCCTGAGGGCCCACGGTGGGGTAGCCCATTTCCTTTGTGCCCAGCCCCTGGCAGACCTCAGGAATTCCAAGCTGAAGACAAAGGCTGGTGTTTCTTTGAATTAGAATAGCTGTCCCAGGTTGACCTCATTATGGGGCAACTATTAGCTAAACTGACTTCTGGAAAGGTAAGGGGGTCAGTCCCCCCTCAGTTCTTAGGGTTGAACCTTAGGTCCAAACCATAGCATGTGAGAGCCTATTGTAATTGCTCGCTCTCTTCTTTCTTCCTTTACTTTGGAGGTCAGGACATCTTCATGACCGAAGAACAGAAGAAGTACTACAATGCCATGAAAAAGCTGGGCTCAAAGAAACCACAGAAACCCATTCCCCGCCCCCTGGTGAGTGCAGCCTGAGGGCAGAGTGAGACCCCATATGGTAAAGACACTGGTAGGGTTATTGCCAAGGAAAGAAAAGGGTAAGTGATGGGCTCCCTGTGCCCTCTGACCCTCTCCCAGCTGCCCCATCCAGAGGATCTGGGGAAGACAGCAGAACAGGGACTAAGGTATGGGATGGCTTTTATATTTGTGCTTGACCTTTCCTCTGAGACTTCCTTGGGCAGCAGCGGAGAATCGGCCTGTTATAACCACATTGACTCTGGCACTGGTAGAAAGATGTTTTAAGAGACCACTAAAAAATTAACAAAGGGAAGTAAAAAGGAAAGCTGGTCTCTTTCCTACCAGGGCAAGATAGGATGTGGCCACTATCTTCTCAGCTCTCTACCCAGCAAGCAAGTCTTTGCAAGATATCTGTGGGAGCAGAAGAGGGTAAAACTAGAAGTCTGATGTCCTGATTTTCTGTCTTGAACGGAGCCTTTTGTAAAACAGATTTGGGCACTGGGATTTTGCTTTGCCCTCCTGTTGGTGCTTGCCCTCTAGCTTCAGGGGAGAGGCTCTGCTCCCGAAGCCATATACCCAGTGGAGTGGGACATAACCCCCAGGCTCAAAGTTCCATCTTCTCTAACTTTCATTTAAAGTAACTTTTTATTTAAAAACAGCACAGCTCTTTTTTTTTTTTTT